ATTGTTTTGCTAACTCATGTGCGAGTCTGCTGAATGAATGTTTCAGAACAGTTGTTTTTCATGTTAGTTTGTTCTCCTTTTAATCTAAAGGCATAGCTTTTGTGGTTTAATGCAGTTTTGAGTCCATCATTAAAATTCAAAATAACACATGCGTAAACATAAAGTTCAGTGGAGTTCTTTAAAGTGAAGATGGGCTGTAGAAGTGACAGGTGTTTATGAAAACAGTCATCTTTGAAGGCCAGCACTGAAACTTTCAGAAAAGTATGGCTGCTTTAAAGCCAAGTTTGTCAGTCGTTATTCTTGGAATTCTTCAGAAGTGACAAAACAAGTTAAAGGGGAGAGTAAGCGAGGGAACAGGCGCTGCTTTGCTTCCTGCGTCTTGTAACTGACACCGTCAAGATGTCTTATTTGAAGTGCATCTGTTACAATATTTAATCTTGTTTGATCTGATGACTTTCTTTATCTTATGCTCTTTGTTTTTAAAAATAATTTTATAACCTTTATGGCTTTTTTGTATTTTTTCCTTCTAGCCAGTAGATGGAAAAACCTGTATTGCAGTCCACTGGCATCACCAAGCGCACATAATTTGAATACAGAGACAGGCTCCTGTAGCAATGCACTAAACTCTCCTGGGCATCTCAAATCGACTAACAAAGCACTACTAACCTGTGGCAGCTCAGGTATGGCATGTCGGTAGAGCAGTGCAAACCTGTAGTGTTTATAAATGCAAGGAGTATTACTAATTGACACAGGGAAAAGTTGTCAAGAGATGCAAGTCCACCCATGGGGTTTTCTCCTTTTAATTTGCTCACTTACTGACCCGGGTTTCATCTGTTATGTGGCAGAAAACCTCCTTGCATTCTAAATGTCTTGTAGTTATTTCATGGGTTTGTTTTTATAACTTTCTCTCTCTATGTTTATAAATTGTACTAATTCTAAGTGACTTAAAATAGAAAACAGCTGTTGGGGCAAAGGGAATACTGCTCCTCAATAATGGTATCATATGTAGGTGTTAACTTTATAAAGTTACTTGGGTTCAGTTTTCTGGCTTGAGAGTTTGCGAAGTTTCTTTTGAAAATACTGGTTAATGTAGGCAACAGAAAGAAGCCTTGTGCTTTAAGATAAAAGGCGTAGTCGCCGGGATGAGCTTTTAAATTGGCCGAGTGGGCAGCTGAACACAAAATAACAGAAGCTTCCCATCAGACTTAATTATGTTTGCAGTAAGATTTCCTGCCTTAGAGGTAACTTACACAAAATTCTTGTTAGAAGCCTATATTTGTAGGTATGATAAGGAAGCTTTTCCTAAATGGCTTGGCCTCAAGTCTGCCGTTGCGTTTAAGCTGCTGCCTCAGGAGCCCCTGGAGGCTCCTCCAGGAGCTTCGTTTACCCTTGCCGCAGTGCGTGCTCGGGTCCCTAGTCCGAATGCTTTGCCTCTTGGCTTTATTGTCAAAGGAGTCTTCCTTGATTTGTTTGGGGTTTTTTTGTGGAAATTGCTATATCTTAATTTGCATGTTTAAAAACATAAAGCATGTTTAACAGTTTCTGGCTTGAAACGATGTTAAATGAACCTTTTTTTTTTAAGAAAAAAAGGGTTGCGTATGGATGTTTTCACAGCTGCAGGTATGCTTTTGAGATCTGTTTTTCTGCTGTAAATAGAAATTAACACATCTCTCTTTTGCAAACAAAAGGATGCATGTAGGACTACTTTGCAAGCTGAATTCTGCAGTGAAAAATCTCTAAATCAATTTCTAGTTTTTAATATGAGGTCGGCTGGCAATCCAGATGTCTGACCACCTTTTCGTACAGGAAGAGTTACTGATCTGTAAAACCAAAGTGCCTGTGCAAGTTCTAGACCCCTTCATTCACTCTGCACATCTGCTGAAGTTGTCGAGGGTGCCAAATAAAAAGCCAAGTACAGAAGAGGCTTTTTCTGTGTAGGATTATACATGAGAGTTCACTTCATCTGTTTGGTGGCTCTTCCCTCGTGACTTGTGTAAGTGCTAACGTGAGTTCAGAGTTCACCGTCAACTTGATTGACTCGAATCTAATTTTATTTCTAAGAAAAAGGGAGCCTCCCTACCGTTCACATGAAAAATGGTTAAGAATAACTTCCTTTAAAAACTAAACAAAAAAAACCTTTCACAAAATCCAGATGTGGTATATTGTGAAGTTTCTGTAATGAAAACCACCATCGGCTCATCTTGCAATGTTGAGCCACAACAGTTTTTGCTGATGAAAGAATGTGAATGTTTTTCTTCCCCTCCCTGACTCTTTTTGAATAGACCTGCAATTTGAAATGCAACAACCAAACTAAACACACACAATTAAGTTGGGAACTTTGCTTTTTAAAAAGCTGTATTCAAGGTACAGCTGCATTAAAAATACAGCTTTTAGGATTAAAGGAGGTGTTAGTTGCAGCAGGAAACCTATGCTTATTCATTACACTACATCCCACAGGTGCAATCCCTACTCTCGTGTTGGCTTTACTTCAGCTGCTTACAGTGTCTTTTCCTGACACTAGAAGGAAAGAGACGGGATTATGTTATCCAGCAGGGCAGGCTTAATACTGGAGTGTCTTGACTCGGCACGTGCCTTTGTGTAACACGCAGACGTGCCCCTTACGCTACGGTCACACTTCTGTCGCTCTGCTACGTTAGCATCTTGAAACTGGGAAAACTTTGCGCCTTTTCACGTGGGGAGTTTGAGGCTTACTGGTACAAAGCAGTTTGCTCAATGTCCACGCAAGAAATTTGTTTTACACCTGGGCTTCAAATGTGTGTTTTCTGTGTCATCAGTTACCACTCTTCAAAACTGGCTGAAGAAATAACGTTGGGAATCTGCTGCTTTTTCCTGCTTGACTGGAATTAACCGTTGTTTGAAAGGGTTGCTCAGCAATGGTTTTCAGATGTTTTGCCAAGAACAGACAAAATGTTTTGTTTCTAGCATCCTTGTTGAGAATTATTCAGTGGGTGCACTGCCTTCAAGACTTTTTAGAACACAGCAGGGAAAACTGCGTGAGCTGAAGTAAAAGTCAACGGTGAATGACATCCTATAGATGCTTTGGGAGGCTGACTGGTATTCTTGATTTGTCTGCTGGTGTGCTACAGCCTGCTTGTTGCTTTTTATTTAAGTGATGATCTCGAATCCCTGCTTGAGCAGGATTTGTATTTCTTAAGCCTGCTTTAGCTGAATGTGATGTTAAGTGCTCTTAGGCTCTTGCACATCAAGTAGCTTTATGTTGATCTGTCACATTGTGGGTTTTAATTTTTTGTTGGTGAGTCTGAATCTATATAGTACGAATTGCAACCTTGTCTTGGAATTAATTCAAGGTAATGATGTACTCCTAAAATAGCTCTGAGTTATGTGGTCTTACGTGTCTAAGTTCGAGGGTTAGTCATGCTAGGAGCATATTACGGTATTTTGTAACATACGGCACAGATAAGCACGTTTGCCATGTGGAGGTTTTACGTTCACTAATCCTTCTGTGTTTCCAAAAATTTTTCTAGTAATACGGTGGTTTGTTGGTTGTAGCTTTTCATTTTTTCCTATACAAAGCAGTATGGTAGTTATAAAATGGGAAAAGAAGATGGAGGTACGCTCACCATTGCGTGCGCTCTCTCAAAGATACTACCCCGAGCCAAAATTAACGTTGATGGAGCGGTAGCAAGATGCTCCTGTCATTGCCTGCCATCTGCAGATGGAGATAAGCTAACTGCGAGGGGATGCTTAGCCTTCCTGCAGTAACGGCCATCCAGATGCCAGGGAGAATGGTTCTGAGGAGAACCAAGGGCAGCTGTGATACCACTTTTCTGTACGTACAAGCCTCCCACATCTGCAGGACAAGTACCAGCATAACACCGAGTTGTACAGCTTGTTCTCGTCTCCCTATTTCAGTAGCAAGTAGTAGTGCTCTTACGCCATGGAAAATACTGACTTGCTTGACTTAGAAAAAGTACTAACAGGTAAAAGTTTGCACTTAATGACGACTTTGATATTTTTATTATTATTTTTCAAAAGGAAAATTACTGGTTCCTCTTCCTAATGCCTGACTTACAGAGAAACTTCCCTGGTGTATGCACAAGCTGTGTCCTTCCCTGTAAGAGAGAGTTTGGTTTATGATGTGAAGAAGAAAAAATGGATAAACCGCAGGAATGGGGAGGAGGCAATCTAGTGTAAACTCTACTTCGCATAAGCAGATGGCATGACTGATTTTTGAGGTCCCTGTACTCTGAAAGCCATTTAGGTGCTTTTACTCCTGTGACTGCTCACCTGGGCCCTAGCAAGCACTTTGTGTAACTTTGCTGCTTAGCGTCGAGAGCAATAGTTGCCCCTTTCTCAAAATAGGCAGAAATAATACCGATCTTCTAAAGTATGTTTCTAAGCTCAAAATTACCAAGCATCCTTTTGCCACCTTCTGGACAGAAGTCCACAGTTTTTTCCCCGCACAAAGACAGTCTGCCTCCTGAAAATTGCCGGTTAAAATACTGAGCGTTGTGTTAAGTAATTTCTAACTCCTTAATTATTTCTAGCAACCATACTTCAGCTTCACAACCACACTGATCTTATTACTGGAATAAGTACTCTGCTGCTCATTCTTGTTTTGTACGTGGATGTCTGAATGCTTTTTGTGTTCCTCCCTCCTCTTCCCCCCTAAAGGTTATTTGAGCATGCATTCTGCACTGAGCTCTCAGTCGTCTGTGGACAGTGAGCTGAGTACATCGGATGACTCCATCTCCATGGGATATAAACTGCAGGACTTGACTGATGTCCAGGTTATGGCACGCCTTCAGGAAGAAAGTACGTGACAGCCATCTCCTTTGCGTTACTGTTTTAGAATTGTAGAGAAATGTAGGTGGATTCCAACTGTTCTTCTCTTCCCCCAACAAAAAACAAATTTAGTAGATCATTTGAAGTGTTTGTGATTTGCAGGGGCTTTCTTTAAAAATCTACAGACCCAAAGTGCCACTTAAACTTAGCAGTTGTATGACATTCTCAGGATTACAACTCTTAAAGCAGAGGGTCGTCTTGAAAGCATTATCCAAAACCCCGCTTTGTTAAATATGTAAGCGCCCTTCAACACTCAAAAATATTCCATCCCGGCGTGTTTCTGAAGCCCAGGTGAAGTTTCGTGACTAGCTGTGTGATAATAGGGGCAGCCTACAGAGCAGGAGCTCACAGTTGCCCCTCTGGTCGCTGTCCCCTCACTTGAGCAAGCACAAGCCGCTGCCTGACGGCACTGTGCATCGGTTTGGTGAACTGATCCATCTCAAAAAATAACCCAGCAAGTCTTTTGCTTGTAAACTTTTGTTTTTCTGAGCAGGCGCCCAACTGCAGCCTGAAATCATATTAGAAGCTGTCTAGAGGACCGACTTTTGCAAGTGATATTTCACTGCTGAGTTGAGTAAAACCAAGAGTACCAAAACTGAAACAGCTGAAATGACAATTTAAGTTTTTCTATGGTAAAGTGCTCAGAGACAGCTCTGCAAATTTAACTTAAGGATAAAAGATGTTTGTGTCCCAGTGTGCGGGGATTTTGGGGCCCTGATCCAGTTCCCATGAAATCATCCGTCAACTTTCTGTTGACTTTGGTGTGATTTGGATGAGGTCCTAACTGAAGATCAAGGTGGTTGGATCTGTTGGTCTGTGCAAATTAATCATTAATTTGATTTACAGGAAATAGAGAATGAAGTCCTCTGGTTTTCTTTCGGAGAACATTTACTTACTTTTAGTACTGTGCCTTTATACATTTAAAAAAATACTGATATGATATTAAGGATAGAGGAATTGGAATGATAGAGGAATTGGAACATGAGACCAAAAATAGCAAAAGACTTAAGATCTTGTTATCACACTTTGTTACACCTGAGCGCAGTTGTATTAAAGCGAATAAAGCAAATAACGGCCTTTTTCTTTCTAAACTTGAGTATTTTCTTATGCTTTGTGATCACTTAAAAAAAAGTCAAGGAAATCCCATCACATGACAGAGTTTCCAGTGAAATATGGTAAGTGCTTCATCCTTGGAATTATGGAAGCTTCTTGTACTTGCATTGTGAAGGGAGAAGAGTGGGGAATGCTTACTTTGACGCCTTTCTCAAAAGTCCCTTCAACCAGTTTGCTAACTTAGTTCTCAGTAAGAAGTTGCTTGTACTTTGTGGGGCAAGAAGACTTAAGTAAGGGCGTAAGTTGGGGGAGGACCTGTAAATACAGCAGACAGATGCACTGCAGGCGTCCATAAAAATCAGGTGTTTTTTCACTTAGAGGCAGAAGTTCAAATCTTTGGTTCAACCTGTTGAAATGCTGGTGGGTGCGTAATTAATTGAACTAAAAAATTCATACTGTAAACGAGACTCCTGTACCTAGTTAACCTAACAGAGCTTCCACGGCAATATATAGTCCACAATGGCAGCTGCTTGTGTACGTGACATAAGGAGTAATTCAGGTCAATCTGAATATTAACTCTTTGCTCCAATTAAACAGTACTGATATGGGTGACACTGTTCCAGTTTAGAGACTCCATATGCTGTGAGTGTCTTCAGTAAAGAGAGTTATGAACTTGACTCTCCTTCCAAGGTGAAATGCATCACTGATGAAAGCGTTGCTTCTGAATTTGCATTGCAACTAGGTGAGGAATTTCTGTTTTAAAGTGACTTTCAGCCGTGTTGCCCTCTTATCTCCAGGCCTCCGTCAGGATTGTGCCTCCAGCTCCGCTTCTGTATCACGTCGCAGTTCCAGTGCCTCCCTTCACTCTCTGCGAAGAGGCACCTACAGCGACCAGGAGTTCGACACATACAGCCTTGAGGATGAGGATGATTACGATTGTTCCCTGTCATATCGTAGCGCTCACAGGTACTCACCATCGCCGCTCAGCTCACCCCGATGTCAGTCCCCTTCTTCCAGTGCAGATTACGGCAGGTCATCTGCTTCTCGTATCCGTCCCCCAAGGAGATCTGTGCAAAGTCCGATGCAAGACCGGCTCAAGTACGCCAGCAGCGAAGGTAAGCGAGTTGTCAGCTTTTGATATGAGCCAATGAAAATAACTTTGACGTATTCATTTCAGAAGCACTGTTATTTAATGGAAGCTAAGAATTAGTTACACCCTTGCCTACTTTTAAGTGCATATGGTTTTCAAGAGAGAGTCTAAACCATTGTACATCTCCATTGCTACCAGAAGCAGTAAATCGAGAATTTGCTCTTGATTTCAGAGGAGATGCGCCACAGCATGCCCAACCTGGCCAGGACGAGCCTTCGAGCTTTGGAGTCTGTAAGGAGCAGTCGAAGCTTGGAGTCGGACCTGCAGGCGCCAGGCAGTCGAATTCCAAGAACTCAGCAGCGGTCAGCAGGTCAGTGCCGTCTCTTCTGTATGCCCCGCTGCAGTTGAGTTCCTTTTGTCTATTCAACCAACCTGACTAAACCCGAGGCCCTTAAAAGGCCCAGTATCCTGAAGTGTTCTTAAAATACAGTTGCTTAACAGTATTTTAACCAGAATAACTGAGTTACTCCTCCTTTTGTTATTCCATTTCTAGGTCTGGCTCCCAGTAAGCTCAGGTATTCCTCCAGTGCTGGGCAGTCTCCCTTAACAGTGCGACAGCCGATGAAAGCAGGGTCATGCACAAACTCCCTGTTAACGCCCAGGCAGCCGGTAAAAGTCTGCAGTTACACAAGTCCCGTTAGTGGAGTTCGAAAACCACAGGCATCTTCGCTTAATTCAGGCTCCTCCAGTAGCAGTTGCGCGACCAGAAGCAGTAACATGGTCACCGTGGCAAAAAATTCATCCATTAAAGCACGCACGTCTGTTGGAGGAATCTCGGTGCCCAAGAGCAAGCCGACACCACCATCCAGGAGGTAAGTGGGAGACTTCAAGCCTCACAGTCTTGAATGTCCGCCTTTATTTCACAGATTAGAAACACTTTCTTTATAAAGTTATGTTCATCTCTGATTTTAAAGTGTGACATGGGTATCGGGTTGGGTCAGAGCTACCCATTGACTGTAGATGTAGGGTGTGGGAGCCCTTAAAGAACGGGTAGTACTTAGCTGGGAGATTCGCAGATGTTAAGTACGTACTTTGCCACCAGTCAAGAAGCAAAGGATTGGAGTTCCTTTAACTACCTCTAAAATTAAATTCTGTGAACGTATGTGTGAACTGACAGGCTGGGACTCCTCACTCCTCCTCACTCCTTCTGGGTGAGATACTCCTTTTTACCGTGTCACCTGTGACCAAACCAGTCCATATTTCAGTATTCCATCTGCTTTAAAAAAAGTGCTTTTTTTAAACAGAGCTAATTATCCAGGAAAATGAAGAGGCATAGGCTCAAACTTATTTCTGTAAGAAATGAACATTATGGCACATTTATTTGGTGCATACATCTGCTTTTGGGAAGGGGAAAACCTCTTCCAAAGGACTAATAACTGCTCTTCACTGTTAATATAATAATCTTCCCAGGTGACCTACTTTGGTGCCTACACTTTGCTACTGGTAAAATAGGTTTGGTTGGGGTTTGTGGTTTGTTTTTTTTTTTTCTTCCTTAGCCTTTAGTTAGGACACTAGGTGGGCACTGTCCAAGGCCTAATGAGTTTTTAGGAGGGTTTGAAAAGTAGGACAAATTAACAAAGCTTGTCTTCAGCACAATTCTGTATCATGACAGTAACTTTATACAACAGGGTGAAAGCAGAGCATATGTAATGGTTTCCAAAAACTTAGAATTTTTGTTCTTGTTACACAAGTCTGAACTGATTTAGGGGCCACATCTTAACCCAGAAAGATGTAATGGGGTTTTGGACTTTTTTGTTTAACACTTATTTTTAGCTTTTATGATTAGCTTCCTAAATACTTAAACAGTGGATCTCTGAAGTTTGTAGATAGTCTAAAGCAACAGCTGTTTAAAGAGGCTGAGTATGGTCTCACTAAAGAAGGCGGCCTGTAAGGTGTAACAACTGTACGCAGGGACTGCTTTATGCTGGTTTAGCAAAGCGTGTTCCTAGCCCACTGTCCCACGGCATCCGCTGTGCCTTTGTGTGTGGCGAATCCACCACCACATGACCAAAAGCTATTTTTTTTTTTACAGCACAACTGTAGTGCAAACTTTGAGGGAGGTGGATTCAGTATCAGCCCAATAAACACTAAGTGCTTGTTGAGTTTTGATGTTCCCTCATAGCCTTACATTGAAATGTATCTACTTACTTTAAAAGGAATACTTGAAAGGGTATTTTTTAAACTCTTAATTTGTTGTAGTACTCTACATACATACAACCGGCTTATTTTTCATGTGTTTTGTCACATTTGCAGGGAAAAATGTTTCTCTTGGACTCAATCATGGGAAACCCACCCCCCCCCGGGTTAGTAACTCAGCAGAGCAGGACAAATATGTCACTGTTTAAGTACCTGGTAACAATCACTTAATTTCTCTAAACTGCCCAAGTTGCTGCTGGCCTCCTGGTGCACAGGACACGTGCTCACCGCAGGCAGACGTTGCAGCAGCCCAGTGCAAACTAAAGCCTCAGCCAACCTCCCTGTGCAGAGCAGCAGGTTACCGGGCTCTTTGCTCCTCATAGCTCTTAGTGACCTGGGTTTGGTTTTTTTTTTTCTTGTCTCAAACCAGATTCCTTCAGTCAGCACAGACCACTCAAGCCCCTGAGGATGACTCCTGGAAGGAGGGGTGTTACTGACACCCCAAAACACTGATGCACTGCCAAACACCTCTGAAGCCGAACCCCAGCTGGCTGGGCGTAAGAACATTTGAAAATGAAACTCCAGAGACCCACCCCACTGCAGACTGATGTGTGTGTATAGAGAGAGAGTTCCTCTCAAATGCAAACTGTCCTCACCACCTGCTATCCTGCCAAGAGCCTGACCTCTTTGCGGTGGAACAGACAACTGCTTTACTGTGCTCCCACTGCTCGAAACACGACTGAAATGAGAGTCTTCACATGAAGACTGAAAATAGCCTTATTTCCTATAAACCAACCTCTCCTTGCAGCCCTTTGGAAGGCTCGTCACCAAAAACTTCTGCTGTGACCTTTGAAAGGCTGCTGGTTGTCCTGGTTGTGCCAGAAAGCAGCTCTGAGCTGCTGGTGTGGTGTGGTGTGGTGCATAGCAGGGGCTTGGGGAGACCAGAAATAGTTAAGAGAGATGGTAGAAGACTTTTAAAATTCAACCTGATGTGCTCTAATATTTGTCTGAAACTTAACTGGGTTTTTTTGGTTTTTTTTTTTTTTACTTCTGTATAGAATGTATTTCTGCTACTTTTTAATTGTTTGTTCTAGAAGACAAAGCAGGTTTTTATAACTGTAGTACACTTCAAGCTGTTGTATTCAAGTGTGTGCATCACGGTTCACAAGTGAAGGAGCAGTACACAATATTTGTGTGGGTTTGTGAACAGGCTGTTGCAGGGACGGGGGATGCTATTTAAAAACTGCTGTTTATCAGCATCTTCATACCTCAGCTGAGGAAGTTAACACCAGTTAAAATTAAATTTTTAAAAAATACCCCCTCCAACTGATTTGATGTGAAATGTTTCCTTTTCATCTCTTTCCACTGCCCTGATCTTTGTAGAATTTTCTACTGTCTCTTTGGCGATGAAGGATTCTGTTTCTATGTCTCCTTCCTCAGCAGGTGGGGGATGCTACGAATACAGTCTTAGTACAGAAAATATGCACTGATAGCAACGTCCTCCCTGCCATCAATGTGACTTTGATAGTGTAGTTTAATAAAATGTTATGGTGCTGAAATAGATCTGCTTTATTCAAACAGCGAGCCTGACTTTTGAGTGGTTTTTGGGCTAGGAACGACGTTTCACGACAGGCCCAGCCCTGCAGAAGTCTACCTATGCAGAGCTGAAGTGCAAAGAGGTCTCTGGCAGAAGTCTGTTACGATGCAAGTACAGATATAAGTCTGTTATGATGTAAGTGTGGATATTTACCTTTCATATCCTTGGATCTCATAAGAATGAGGTGGGTGTTGGCAAAGGAAAACTGAGTTCACAGCACTCGGTTCGTGTCTTTTTGTGGAGAACATCCACAAGTGGCCTCAGCAGAACAAAATACAGGAAACTCCGCTTGCAAACAGAAGGCACTGCAGGATGCTGTACAGCAGAGATCACTTTTTGCATCAAGTTTGCTTTAGAAATGACAAAAAAAAAAGAGGAAGAGACATTTGGGATCAAATGGCACGTGTGTGTTCCTGTCACTTCACCTGGAAAGAGAACACTGGCACAGCACCGAACCTGGCCCCACTGAACTTCCTTTACCTTCCCTCTGTACGGAAGGAGAAGAGACCAACACCACTTTGTTTCCATTTCTCTATTGTGTGAGAGTTCTCCTTTTGCCTTCACCGTGGTCTATATTCCAAAGGTAGGAGCATGCCTGCACTTCCCAGGCAGTGCATCTCTCTGCAGCTACTCTTTAATGATACTTACAGATATTTAGTGCTAGGTAAAGAACAAAAACTTTTCTAGAAAAGTAAAATGTTTCAATAGTTCAAGGTTATATTCTAGTTAAAGCTTTTTGCCATTGTTTCTATGGAGGAACAGCAGAGCTACAGACTGGGGTACGCGGTTCTTGGCAGACCAGAGGCCAAGAAGAGAAGCAAGCAAAGAGGTTAGTGCCAGGGCCAGCTCCTCCCTGAATCCCTCAGCACTTGAACTGTAAATCTGGTACTGACCAGCACTCGCAGATGGCTCTCCCACTTCAGGAGGGGGCCATCGGTTGCTTTTGGTCCACAGCTCAGGAACATTAAGCACAAAACCCAGCTCTGTAAGAACTTTCACACTAAGGAGATGTTAAGTTTTATTCATTCATTTTTCTAAGCCACGATCTTCCTTCAGATTTTTATGTTCTCGATCAGCCTGAGCCCTAGCAGGTATCATTAGAACACAGCTTTGCCTCAAAGCAAGATAACAATCAACAGAACTCATAAGAGGAAATCCAATGCCCTCATACCGATGCACAAGCCTGCTTCTAAAAGCAAATACTACCTCAGCAGCGTTTAACCTTCCCGAGGCGGCTGCAGGGTTTTAGAGAGGCTGCAGTGCAAGACAGCGAGCAGCACCTCAGTCAGTACAACAAACTCTTCCAGAAAAAGGGGCTTCTTCCCAGCTACAACTGGAGACAAGGAAAGGTGTCAATTACTAGGGATTTCCCTCAAGACCAGGGGTTTCTATCACTGAAAATGGCCTTAAAAAGAAGTTTTCACACTGACCTTCAGTTAGCATCCAAGTACTACCACCACCACACCACTGCCCAGGTCAGGGTCGTTCCAGCACCAGCGCTAAGCCCCTCTGAAGTCACAACAGGCGCCAGCACCTGCATCAAACCAAGTCAGAACCCTTCCAAAGCCGCAAGGTTTTACGCAGCCAGCACAGAAACTGTTTCACACAATTTCTCCCCACTGCCCTGCAGGGCAACACCAACCCTGGAGCCAGGGTGTTACACACAGGGTGACCCACAGCCCTGCTACACGCTGGCTTCACAGAGCAGTTCCTACCAACATCTAGAGCTAGACTCACCTTTCACAGAACTAAGGGAAACCGCTTTCTGTACAGTAATTTTATTTGAATCAAGTTAACTTTGTTTTTACACTAATGCCTCAGTGCATCCTTTAAAAGGAAAGAAAGTATCTCATTTAAAAAGTATTTGTACATAAGACACCAAATCATAGAAATGAACACAGCAACATCAACAACCCCTACACCATGCACAATTGTACACCAAACTGTGGGTGGCTTTACATTCAATTAACACAAATAAACACACACCAGCGACCGCGGTGCTGACCGGAACCACTGACGCTTTCTGGGTGCCAAGATCCGAATACCCTTGGCTAAATTTCAGCCTAGCAGAAGACAAATCCAAACAAGCACCCAAGTGTAGAGGAGAACTCGTTATCTGGTGCCTGCGCGAAAGCCCCAAGCTCACTGTAACACCCACCAAAGCGAGCACGTGAAGGAGCAGCAGTTCCACATCACTGCAGAGCGTGGGGAAACCCGTGGCACCAACCAAGTGCTCCAGTTTACTCACCCAGTGAAGCCTCCCCTTCCCCTACCTCGACGGTTTCCACCCACCATTAGAAGCCACTTCCATGGGCCAAAAAGACACAGCTTCCTCTCTCGCCCATCTGATGCTTTTATGATATTTGAGTTGTTTCTTCTCTTAGAAAGGAGCCTGTGAAGTACAGAAGTCCCTAAGCGCCGTGCCCCACGCCACAACAGCTTTGGCTCCAGCCCACCAGCACTGGCCTGGCAGTTCAGTGTTCAGCTGGGAGAGAAACCGCGGGCACAGCAGTCCCTGTCCTCTGACAGCAGCACATTGGCAGCGTACCCAGCCCCACATTTGGTTATTAGCCTTGGGTTTGGTTTTTCCCCTTGGCAGAGGAGGACATGCTACGACAGCCCCTGAAAGAGCCTTCCTTCTTCAGGATGGCCCAACCTGCCGTCCCTTCTGTTTGTAGCCCACACCTTCAGGGAGAAGCACGAGCAGCAGACACCTGACACCCTGCCAAGCCAGATCAACATTGGCCCCCAATTTTACCTTAGCAAGTGATAACATTAGTATTCGTTTTAGTCCACCCTCGAAAGAACAACAGGAGAAATAACGTGTGAGAAAGCAGATGCGTTACCGCAACCTTAACTGTGTGCGACCATCTCCTTTACTGATTTAGCCACAAATTAAGGGGGGGAGATGAGGAAGAAGCGAGGATGAAGAGGCAGCCATTTCAAAACGCTTGAGGTGACCCAACACCCTCTCCTACCACCTGCAGAAAGGCCTCCAGAAAAAGGGAGATTTCATACAGAGGCAGCAGCTCCATCTCACAGCACGTAAAACCCAAAAGCCATTCTTTTTTGTTACTGCCAGTATTACACTTGCAGCCTCCACCTGTCAGAACACGACAGAACCACCCAAGCCAAACGTGCCAGGAGAGGCACCGGGACCTCCAATATTTGTAGAAAGTGGAAATTCACACGTACACCGGCCTCGTCCCTGCCCCCTTCCTTTGGCTCAGCCCACCCTGCACTACCCTCTGACACCAGCCCCAGGGCAGGACAGGTGCTGGCAGTACTCCTCTCCACTCGCACGCTCACATCAAAGTGCAAAGCTACACGGACACAGGGGCGAGCATGCACATAACCCTCCAGAGCCAGACGTGCCGCCCACCCAGCTGAGAAGGTTGTAGCTGGAACAGAAAAAGAAACAAACAAAAAAAAATAATCCCTTCAAGTAATTTAAAACAGCCCATTCTTGAGGTTACAGCTGCAGAGGAGCAGTGACCAGCTGGGCCTGTTTGGGGTGATAAGGCAAAAAAGTCTGAAGTCCTGGAGGGATGGAAGAATGAGGAGGTGTCAGTAGTGAGAGATTAAGAGTTATTCTGTAGGTTGCTTCTTCACACTCCTGTGATTCTCATCTCCAAGTGACCAGCACCAGCTGCCTCCAGTTACTTCTGCACACAGCTGGGCCATGCAAGCCCACCACAGGCAGCCGAAAGAATGATATAGATGATAACCTGGAGGGGGGGAAAAAAAAAAAAAAAAAAAAGGTCAAGAATTCAGTAGAGAACTACACTTCTGTCAGTCAACTGCTGACTCGGCCTGGCAATCAAAACACGAGCTTGGAAACCCCAGGTTACCAAAACCCTACAACTTGTCAGATGCCCTACAGGACTTTGCCCCAGTGCCTCTTCCTCTATGTCCTTGCAACGCAGGGATGAGAACCGTCCTCCAGCAAAACACGAGCGAGGGTTCAGTGGTGACAAAGCACTTCACGCACCCAACCTGCAATCACACCTCAGCATCCCCACGGTAGCACTGTCTGCATTTATTACGGGCCAGAGGCACGCCACCACATCGAAAAAAGCTAATTCAAAGTTAATTAACAAGATACCAACAGGAACACTGCCTAAAAAGCCATTACAGATAGAGTAGCCATAAACTCAATACCTTAGCTTCTAATGGAGCTAGCAAGGCAGCTGTGTGCGACAGGCACTCACAACACACAATTGTCTGGAAAGCTTTTCCTATTGCCTTGACAAGAAAAGCTGCCTGGCGTGATGCTTCTCTCACCTCACACAAGACCATCAAAACACTTGTTTTACAGCTAAGACCCTGCCAGGCACAGAGCTGACTACGTGTGGGTCTAAAGACAGTAATATGCTATCAGCATTTTCCAGTAGTTAAGCCTGACTTAAGAGCTAAAGATTACTGTGCTCCATACTTACGATTGATACAATGATGATGACGATGGTAAGCTTAAGGTTCTTCATACACATGGCTCTAGCAAGGTTCCTGCTGGTAGTTTTGAAAGTGACTGACTGCAAGAGAAAGTAAAACAACTAATTAATCCCTGAACCTGCTGCAAAGGAAGCTGCATCCCAAGAAGGGAGGTGAAGAGGCACCCACTCTCCCCAGTTACGACCTCCCTAATAACCCAAACCACTGCAGTTATCTCCTCCAGAGCCATTTAACTCCTGCAGTTACACCAATACAAAACTGAGCAGGCAACAAGAGAAAACTCCCCCACGCTACTTCAGGGGCAACATAAAGTGTAGGAGTAAGTCCAGAACCAGCTTGGGCTTGTGCCTTCCCATGCTCCGCTTGGAAAAATTAAACACGGAACATCACTAGGTCTGTAGGCTGCCCACAAGGCTTAGTTTACCTTAGAGTACTTCTCGCTGGGTTCCCATTTGACTTCCAACCTTCTGGGAACTGAAGTGCTCCAAAATATTCATGGAACTACTGATCTAATCACCAACACGTCACATGCAACTTTATCACTGTAAATACACCTGCCAAAATGAGACAACCCACACTGCCGCTCCTGACAGCGGTTCCCCGGGGGCTAGACAAGTCCTCTAATGCTACAACTTTCTTTCCTTCAGTATTTGGGCGTGCTGCATTTTATGGAAAGCTTGCGGTTGTCCTCTTCCAAGTCTCCTCTCTGTATCCTGCAATCCCACCCATTCAAAATCGGTTTTGGTCACCAACGGACCTCACGCACCCACCCGGCTCTATTAGGGCAATTAATTTTCACACGCTTTCCCTCAACGGCTCACACAAGGATACGCCTGCCCAGGGAGAGGCTGCAGCACTCAGCAGAGGCCAACTCAGCAGCACGCTCCGCTGGTTATCTTCAGGTTTGCCCCACAAACCACCCCCCATTTTCAGATAAGGCTGCACCAGGCAGAATTGCGTCCCTGTGAGCTGTAATTTTGACTTAAAAGCTGATTCCCATGCTCAGCCACCGCCAGAACTTTGGGAGCACTTCTCTGGCTCAGCCGCACAGCTCCTGCGTGTGGAAGCAGACTGCTGCACCCCAACACACCCCATCTCAGCCCAGCCCAGTTGTCCAGAGGACAGGGCTACTGTGACCACCAGCTTCTTCAGACCACCCTCCCAAAAAGGGGGCCCTCGCCACTGTTGCTAGGAGGGCTCTAACGTGTTCGGTCTATGTACAATATTCTAGTGGTCAAGGCTCATACAGGAGTGATAAAACACTATCCATTACTCAAGTTTGAGAACTTCAGCCCTGGATCTCCTAGGACACTCGCCATCAGGCTGTAAGATGTTCACACTGGAAGCCTATCCCATTCCTTAATTTTCTGCACAGTTTCCAAGAACCAACACTCCCTGGGAGAGCTGGTGCATGAATTCAGCCTGATTGCTGAAGGAATTCCAGTCCATTTGCCTAAAGCATTACCTGAGGGTTAGACTACTTCTTGTCCCCGCTCGTGCAAGTGGTAAGGTTTAAACACCCGATAGCTGGAGGACGGTATTCCCTGCTGAGTAAGCTCCAGGCATCTCTACTCCCTCTCTAAAGCATGGATACTTTTTACCATCTGAGAGATGTCTGGATCTCCACAAGCCCCACAGAGGGGATACTGGCACCCTGAAGGGTTTGAGGATTGTCTTCTGAGGGTTGGGTGCCCAAGGAACTGTGCACCGAGCCAGTGCTCTCCAGAGGAAGATGCTGAGCCAGGTCCAGGAGTTCCCAGAGGAAAGACAAAAAAAGCTTCCAGAATGTACAACACTTTACTAGATAACATAATGCTTTATAATTACATTTTGGGTTTTTTGTCTTTTCTCACTTAGACACACTCCATGAACCTCCAGAGAGTCTTTTACAGACTGTTTTGGTGGAACGACTCAGCTTTTTTTTTTTTTAATTCAGCTATTTTTTCCCTCTTGGTATACTGGAACAACTCTACAGATTAACATGTTTCCAATTTATCTACATCAAGCTGACTTCAGACCAGGCTGCAAGAGAAGTTCTAATTACAATCTTTAGCTTTCCCTGCCTTAGGCACAAGAGGTGAGGATGAAAACCACCACCGCTTGTGCTGGCAGCACGTTACCCTGTGCATGTGTTGTAGCAAACAGGAGCAAGTTGGTGGTGTGTTTGTTTTTTTTTTTTTTTTTTTTTTTTTTAAACAGAATTGGGCAGCTGGTCCTTGGGAGCAGAGCATTTGGCCAGCAGTGCAACCTGGGATTTAGCAGTCACCCACAAATCTGGCAGGATACAGAACAGAGACGCGCAGGATACCTTCCTTCTCTTAAAGGAGCTGCAAGGCTGGGATGCAGCTTGGGAAACAGCTATAAGGAGTGGGGGGAAATCAGGTACGACTTGTGTCTGACACAGGGAAGGATTACCTGTAGATCTGGATTTAAAAGTGGCTCTAGATGGTGGTCTTCACCTCCACTGCCCCCTGATGAGCACAACTGATGCATAACACTATTTCTCCCATTTCTAAGTTCTTCCCCAGACTTACCGAATCCACAAGATTCTCTGTTTTATCGATCAGCAACTCCAGCTTCTCTCCTCTTTGTGCCACAAGGTCTAGAGAAAGAGACAAAAATCCAAATCTGTAGGCAGAATTCCAGTGCAAAAAGCTGCTTCCAATACCCGAGCCCAACTGCAAGCCAGGAGCTCGTGGCAGTGGCTTATTAGCCATCAAGTAGTTCCCAGCCTTTCAGAGATTGCCAGGCAAAAGTACTTAAGGAACAGTCTCACATCTGTCACACAGTTTTGGGACTGACCTGACTCAATTTTAGTCAATTCCAGATTTAACCCTCTATTTTAAGTGGTCAGACTTGTCAAAACCCAAACCAGTCTGACAAAAAAAAAAAAACACCAAACATAAGCAACCAAGGAGCATTTTCCTCACAGCAGCTGCAGGAAAGCCACAGCGACAAAAAAGACCAAATCCAGAGCACGCTTCACCCCATGACAAGCTGTGCAAGTTCACCTCAGTGTTCCTCACGCCCAAGTGCCACCCTGAACCAAGTTCAATGCAAGTAACAGCTTGCAAGCACAGACCTCCCCCAGCCCCTTCTCCATCCCTTCATTCTGCAAAGAGAGGCCACCCCCCATCAGCTTCACCCTCGACAGCTCTCCCTGCAGGATCGCCATTCTGGCCCAGAGGAACTCCACATGCGTGGCACTGAGGGAAGCCAGGTACCTATGTTTCGAACCATGATTCCTTTAAGTTCATCGATTTGAGCTTGCGTTTCTGCCACCTGGTCAGTGCCTTTGCTCTCCGAGTGGTATTTCTGTAACAAATGAATAGTCAGTGAAAGCAGGGACCCTCAATGTTGCACTTCAGTTCCTTAAGATAAAAAAGGCAACTCCTGGTCACTGCAGAACAGCACAGACATAAGTGTGAGTTTTCAAAATACCTGAGACATTTGTAAGTGGGCAGTAGACCAAAATCTGACTTTCTTGGCCACTTACAGATCACATGTGCCCATCTGCTCCCGCACTGCAGGAGCTGCAAGGCAGCCAGGTATCTGCAACTTCCAGAGCACCCAGAAATAACAGCCCCCTTTGCAAGTCGAAGCAATTGGTGGCAAGGAAGGAAAGTCAAGACAAGAATCTGTGAGATATGGTTCACTAAATGCCTGGGCTACTATCAGTAGTCCCACTCTCACACATCATTTCGGAAATATTTATGAAGGCAACACACTTTCAGGACCTTATCTCTAGAACATGTCAAGAGAGCCCTGCAACTTCACAAGCAGGAGGGCATGCAGCCATCTCTGCAGGGGAACATCTCTGAACTGCCATATGATCTCTTCCTGCACCCTCAGCCTCACACTAGTTAACTCCTTAAGTTACAGGAATCACCCAGATAACAGTCCTGCTCTTGCACTACAAGCAAGGTTTGATCAGCAGGGCTCTCATCTCAGCAAGCTTTAGAGCCATTTGAGGGAAGAGCTTTCTGTCATCGCTTAACTTCTATTAGTCAATGCCTGGATTTCTATCAATATGCAAAAGCTGAGGTAGGCAGCTCCTCTCCTGCTTTAGCGAAATGGAAAGGCTGGGATTTTTAGAGGAATATCTATTGGCTCTGAAGACTGCCTGGCTCTTACGATAAGGCGATTCATCCAGCTTATTCCAGCCATGAGCAGCTTACAATCTGATGAGTCATCACTTCATACAGCTTCAGTCTCCACATATCAAAGCCTGGTGGAGAAGGAAAACTCAGTCCTATTGCACATAGGGAGTTAATCTAATTTATTACGCACAATGTATCGGGCCCTTCTGGACCCACACTGGCATTATTATTCATTGCTTTCTATCTGCTGCATAAGCCAAAGAACAGTTTCTGCAATGAACTATGTGTAACTCTGTGTACTCCAGGTCACCTCCGTGAGTCACCGAGGGCACCAGCACAAACGGCTCCCTCCACAAACTCCAATACAAACTTCAGGCAGCAACAGTGCAAGTGCAAATCCTCACTTCGCCTTCACCCACCTCAGAGTCCTGGCTCCAGCCTGCACCTCAACACGCAACTATCACTGCTGGAAAGAGTTATAAAGCTTGCCCAGTTTCTATGCTTACAGACAAGAGCTGTGCTCACGGGTCACCAGCAAAGCACCTCTCCTCCTACCCCTGTAATATCACCAAACCTGGCACTTTCAGTAGATCGGCAGGAAAAAAGCCAAGCCCTTCACGGAGAACAGCAGCAGCACTAACATGCTCACCAGCCACAGCAGAGCAAATTGCGAACCTCCTACACCGCACGTACGGCACCAGTTGTAGTTGCCCCAGATACAGATTGTGTACAAGCTCTGAAAGCCAATATTCCAAGGACAACTTATCTTTAATTCAAGGAATGTCTCAAACAAAACCAACCCAAAAACCCAAACAAAACCAGCCCCCCAAACCAACATTGCTCAGGTTATGAAGTTGTTTATAGTCAACTAAGGACTCTTAAGAGTCTCCAACAGAAGATTCTAAACACTTTCCTTGTAGACCATATAGCCTGAGGTTTTGTGCACTAACAAGGGTATTGATCATATGAGTCACAGGGCAGTTAATTTATTCCTTCTCTATTCTCCATCTGACTTCATTCATTTAGTTTGGCGTTACATTCAGTGACAGGCCTGCGCTTTCCCCAGGCCGGTTTTCTGTGCAGGTGCTGGCAGCATACCACTGCAGACCGAGGAAAAGTGCAAACTGCAGCATTCCCACTACATTAACAGCTTACATTTTAAGAGCAGCCCAATCCCACACCTAGAGCAACTGCTCTCTGCTTTTTCTCCTCCTTTCCCCCACAAAAAACCCCGCTGAAGCAGGGCAGGGTGTTGTTTGCAGACCCAAGTTACACATCAAGTCAACACTGCATTAGGAAAAAGTGCTCCGTGAAATGCATCTCATTCTATAGAGGGCTGAAGGGAAATGCAAACACTACGCCGTGCACTTAAATACTTCGGAAGCTATACCCATATACTGCTGTGAATAAAATACATAGAGCAATACAACTATGGGAAATCTCTCCTGTCTGGCAGCCGTGGGCTTTGCCACACCTCAAATACAATACACAGCAAGCAAAGCACTTTTGTGAAAATAGGATGGCACCATCAAGGCTGTATCAGAGTCCTGTGGTAAGCAAAATAAGCATGTAACTCCCCTGTACTTCAAGAGGGAAGCAGATTCCAGCCCAGCCCTTCCCTTTGGGAGTCCAAGAACAGACCCAGAATCACTAGAATAGTCTTCTGAAACCTGGGAATTTCTTAAAAAGGAGATCGACTGTGTGCTGTATGTGCCCTAACAACAACATTCAGAACTCAGCTTTAGTTGAGCTGTCAACAGGGCCAATAAAAACCAGACAGCACAAGCCAGAACCCATCAGGACAGCGGTGCCGTCCAGTTCCAGCAAGTGAAAACAACATGCTTTTTTCCAGTGGGAAAGCGAGGACAGAGAACTCCCTTCTCGTACCACTGGAGAGGGCTGCCACTGCACCCTCACCAGGACACCCAGCTGTTACCTGGTACTGGCACCACGACAGCACTGAGCAGGAAGATGCCTTGCGCTGCAGGCAGCTCCCCAGCAGCCGGGCCTGCAGCACTGCACCGAACCACGGCTCTCAGTCCCACAGCCCTTCTCATGCTGTGGTGCACTGCCTGCACAGACCCCACTGACACGGGCTTCATCTGTGATTCCATACTGGAAACACGCTAGTGGAACAACTCATCTTGCCAAGACTCCAGTGACTACAGTCCCTAGACTTGGAACCCAGCATCATCCTAAACACCACTACAGCCTCAGCTGAAAAGTGCAAGTTGAGGGTGAATTAGATATTCCCCTCGCTTTCATAATACCCTCACATTTTTAACTGGGGAGGTTGGAAGAGTCCAAGGAAAATCTCAACTCGGAGAACGTGGGACCTTTCACAAATCATTTATCCTGCTCTCTAACCTCCTACCTATCTTGGGAATGGAAATCCTTGGAGCCCCTGTGCAGGCTAGCTGGAGAGTCTGCATACAGCACTTGGCTGTAATCCAAGCCCAGTTTTCTTTCCTCCTGTACCATAAGCAAACACCCTGTCATACTCCAGCAGTGTGCCACTGAAATTGCCATGAAGTAAAGGGGAGAGAAGTGAGAGGCAGTTAGGGATTACTAGATACCCAAGTTCTGAAGTTTACTTTAACAGAAATGGAGTAACATGTGTTTGTCTTGCTCTTAGTGACAGTGATCTTAACTTGCAGTGGACGGTCAACTGGAAGTAGGTTCGACATTTCAAACATTACCATTAAGATCTAATCTCCAGCGCAGCTACCTGTTACAAACATTTAATGCATCGCTATTAACCCCACCCTGTTTTTACCAGCAAAGCAGTGAAACAACCTAGCTGCAGGGTAAGTGTGGGGAGAACAGCCAACTCCCCTGGCTTCACACCCAGACTCAGCATTGCACTTCAGTTCTGAGTGAGAAAATACAAGGAGAATTTCTGGGGAGAAGTTTGGCTTGTTAGAGGAATCCCATTTAGGAACAGATCTCACCAGCTGTGCAGCTAAGACACTTGAGAACTCGCTGTTCATTGCATAGGGAAGGGCTGTCTGTGCTCTTGAGCCATATGTGGTCTGAAACCTCTTCTTGATTTCATTCAAGAAGTTGAAGGCCCTGGATCGTTCAAAGTCCTGGAAGGAAGAGAGCAGAGCACATCAAGAGCTGTGTCAAGTCAGGAATAATGAAGTATATGGGGCACGTAGCCAGTTGTAGAGAAACTGTAATTATCAGTTCTTAACAGGCATGCTGCACATAACACTATGGGATTTGACTGGTTATCCTGGGGTTTGAACAGCAGCCAGATTTCAGTCTCAGCTTCCCGGGCGTTGGTTGGCAGCAGATTTACTGGGGTACCCCTAGTTCTAATTCTGTGCTTGGTACCTTATTCCAGTGAGGGAGAAGTTTTTGCTTCAACATGTCCAGAATCGAGGAGTATTATGCATATTTCACTGACAAAGGCTAGCCTCTACATACGGAGTCTACTGCACAGGCTGCTAAGAGAGAAACTAGGCAAAACCAAGAACTTAACCTCAAAACTAGCTATTCACATGCATTGGAGTTCTAGGCTTGGACCTCAAAGCTGTAACTGATGTGAATGAGAAGACAAGCAGTAGCTCCAATGGCAGAAAAAGGCACCTCAGATTAGCACCCACTATTGATTTCCTTTGACATACAGATACAAAAAAAGCCAAAACCTGCAAAGAGCCTGTCTGTGCAATAGCTGTAACCAAAATACTTACATCATCTGTGATGCAGAGGTATATAATCCTGTCTTGGCAGATGTAATGAAACAGGTAACTGCAAAGGAAAAAAAAAAAAAAGAAAGAAAAAGGTAATTTGGAGCTACCACAGGACTAATCTTTTAGAAGACATTACTGCCCGCAGGGCCTTCAAGGGCTGGAGAAGAGCTAATTATACTTACACTGCAGGAACTCACACAGATGCCAATGTACCCCAGCCTTCTTTGTTCAGGTAAGTGTTTCCATTCCTATAAGCTACACTGAATTAGAGACCACTTACATGTTAAAAAATCACCGGTCTCACATACTTCACAGCACTCCATGCTTAGCAATAGCTTTGTGGGACACGGAGTTGCCAAACAACTTCAGTTCCACGTTCTTCCAGCTACTTACTTGTGAAAACAAAACCTTGACAGGTTCCCCAGGGGTAAGATTTATGTCTAATCCTAATCAATGTGCATACAAGCATCCATGCAGTAGCTCACATGTGACAAGAGCTGCAGTTAATTGGAGTGATAAGACAGACAGTACTTTAGTGAACCTCGCTGGTGACTTGCTGCTTCATCCTTGTTTGTACAACCATTGGGTTGCACTACCTTTGGTTTTCATCGCAAGGGCTAATAGACAAAAGCAACCACAGCAGAAAATAAATTAGATAGAACAATAATCAGGCTAGACAGGCTTGAATCATGTGGCTAGGTTAACTATTCCTGCAAAGATACTATCAGTGGTGTTGAGCAAACACAGATGTTAGTTAAATGCAACCCTCAGTATCCTGAAAAACAGGCAAACCAGTTCAAAGCAATATTTTCCTATCAAAATTAAACCAAGCTGTTATTTTAGGTTCACCAGGAAAAAAAACCCAAAACCCTTAGTTCATACACAACTAAATCCAAGCCAGAACTGATCACAGCATGCTAGTTCAACTCAGTGGCTGTAGCTGTTGCTTTTTTATTACGTCCCCTCACCACCATTTGATGTTCCAGTAGGTAATATATTCTTCTGATGAGTACAACAGGACAAAATAGGAATAGCTGCAGAAAGGCCACACGAATACTTTTTTTTTCCCCCTAATGAAAACTGTTTCCTTCCACCTTGACATTTGTGTATTGCCAAAAGTTTCCCCAGTAAGCATGCGGACACTTTTACAAACTCCAGAATAAAAGCAAGTTAATGCACATGCTGCATAGCAGTTGACATGCACAGCTCTTAGTGCACAGCTCAGTAGCTTTCAAACTCAGGTTTTGTATTATATAAATAAGACAACACTGGAATAAGCTTTAGAGGTGGGCTAGAAGTATAATTTATTGCCCTGAAGGTCTGTTCTCACAAAAAAAAAGATGCCTGCATATCCACAACTATTGCTGACCCTTCCTGAAAGGAGAGAGGTAAAGATTGTCTGGTACTACTTTGTAGGCTCCCCAGTGACTTGTAGAAGAATCTTAACAGCAGAGACAGAATAACCCCAAGAACTCCCAATGCTAGAAGGTTGTTTTTTCTTGGAGATTTATATAAAAGACACAAGTTCTTAAACCCAAAAAGAGCTCATTAAATGAGTTTAAGAAGTTCAAAGTTAAGAGAAACCCAAGTTTTCTCCTGTTTTAGAAGATGAGAAACAATCCTAGACAGACAGATAACAGAGCAATTTTGTAGCCTACAGGCTTGGACCCTTGCAGGGCAGAAGGACCCCCAAAACCCTACAGACAGAAGAACAACAACTCCTTGTGCTCACTCAGCTTCATGGCTTTCACATTCTGCCCAGGTATCACTGTCAAGGGGCAGGACGGGAGCGGGAAGAGGCTATTCTATAGCTCTACAAACCAAAAACCTTGCTTTTTGACAGCTCCAAGCATGTCTGTGCAAAAATATTTAATCCCCCCAAACAGATGGCTAGGAACTCTTCCTTCCCGTCTACTAGAGGGAAGGCAGGGTTAGCAGATTCTGACTGAAGATGTCGTTGTCCAAATCACAGAAAAAAAGCCAATATAAGAGTTGTCAGAAGGGACTACCTTTAGCAGAGGAGACACTGATGCTAAGCTCAGTGCCCAGAGCTGCAGAATGGCACCTGTACATTTTAATAGCACAATGCAAAGCAGAACCACCACAAACTGCAGTGATCTTTGGCCACGTTTGTTAAATCCTCATTAAGGAAACAATCAGTAATGAGTAAAAGATTGTACACTTTGCAGCATACTTTGCAAGCGTAGCTGTATTAGTTACCTATCTCTCAGTGCTGCCCAGCGAAGAGCAAACCCATCTCTACCACAATTCAAGTTTTCATCTCTAAAAATGCACTACAGCATTCCTAAATCTCAACTTTGTAGTTGGTTGAGCAGCACTCAAAACAAAGTTAAAACAAAAGAAAATAACTGTACTCTTAAAATTACAGTAGGGAAAAAAAAGATTCAGCATCCAAAGTACGTTAGACCACAGGGCAGGCAACTTCCTCAGAAAGCTTTCCCCCAGAGACCTTTAGTGCTCCCAAGCCAGGGAAGGACGCGGGAAGACCGCCCCAATTCTTCTCTCTTGAATCCTCAGGCAGCCAAAACAGCTTTAACGCAACGGCTTGGGCAACACTGAGAATCCAGCCACACTGCCAGTTTCAAAAAAAAAAAATAAAAATGCTGAAGTGAGGTCCAACACTTCTAAATTTACTTTCTCCACAGTTCTTTCTTTAGTTTGCACATCAGTACATTGACTTATTTTACACATGCAATAAGTCAGCAAAGTCTCAGGCGATGTATCATCTAATCCCTCCATTCTATCAACACTGACCGAGGGCTGTTCGGAGATCTGTACAAGCCTCGGAAAAATCCTTCTGTCCCACAGACTGGATTTATGGTAGCTCAGGATGACTCTACAACATCTGCCAGCACAACTTCTCTTAAAGCAATCAGGATGCACGAGTGATCTCAGAAGGGTGACATTTTTACCTAAAGCCATGTTCAAGCCTCAGAGAAGCCAGCAAATGATGCCGCAAGCCAAATACCAAAGGCTCCAACAGTTTGATATCCACAGCTGAGCACCCTTCAACTCACTTTGGAGTTGTATAAAATAGAAAACTTGATTTCCTATCAACTGCCTTGGTACTTATTGCTTAAGCTAAATTGAAATCCTGGCTATGCTGCAAAGTTCTGGAAAAAAAAAGTAGCTGTTGAGCTGAATGCACATTCAATCACCATACTAACACATCCAAATATCAATTTGGCTACACTCCATTCATTCCTGGCCTCCTGCATGTTCACTAGTCTCTCCTCCCACACCCAGAAGAGAAGCATTACTTACTTCCCATGTGAATAGGTCAGTTTATTGTTTTCAGATGGTATTTTCGCCAGGATCTGCTCCGTCACCTCCAGGAAGTTTCCTCCACACCAGGCATGTTTGGCAAGGATGGTTGTGCCCCTTGCCACAACAGCGAACAGGATAGCCATGACTTCACACTACCTGGAAATAAAAGGACTGCAAGAATTAGAATCGTGTTCTTTGGCAGAGAAAGCATCATAACATTAGCAGTATTCTCGCAGCCCTCAACATAAAGGGAGGGAGGCATAAGCTTGTTCAATACTTTGACAGGATACCATTATCAGAAAGCTTCTCTCATTTCCCCTTTTAGGTTCTGTTCAGAACGACACCAAGACTACAGTAACCTCTAGAAGGTTTTTCTTATTACAACTGCAACTACAGTCAGTGATCCCATAATGAATTCTGCCTACCTTGTTTCCACCTCGATTTCCAGCTATAAGTACATTTTTTTCGCTCTTCAACTGACTCTTATTTTTTCCTTGCTTGTTATTGAAAACACTGCCTGCAGCCAGCAGGCTCCAGTTGAGAACGGAAGTAACTGTCTCGCAGCTATGCTAACAGCGGCTCGTTATACAGACCAAGCCCATCACCCCCAGCACATGACTGTTTAGGGGTGAGGCCTTGGCTTTGATTGCTATCAAACTGAAGTAGAAAAACTGCCACTTGCTTAGAGTCACACCATACACATCCCCTTTTAATGGTCTAGAGACACTCACTAAGCATACGTTGCCCCAAGACTTTTGTAAAAGCACATAATCTGCACTGCTCAAAGCGAGTGAGCACGTTTGCAAACTGATTATCCTCAGCAACACACGATTTCTACAAGCCAACGCTCTTGCATACGTATCAAACTGGACAGGTTACAGTGTGCAAGTGTCTGAGGGACAGGCTTCTGTGAAGTCTCCAGAGAGGGAAAAACACACCTGCTGTCATATAAAGGGACAGGCTTAATCAGCTCAAGTATCATCACATTAATCTACTGACACACCCAAGATTTAACATGTGAAACCACATGTCAGACCACAGCTGTGACATCTGCTCGGCTGATCCAGTACATCCATAAGCCTCTTTTCTGCTTAGGAAAGACTTAAGATGACTTTTGACCCTACAAAACCCAAAAATCTTATTTTTCACTTTGCACTTGACTGCCCCCACAGTGCCTGCCTTGTTTTGTGCCCACAACCATCTGCATTCTGGCTGGAAATATCACACACCTATTTCAATGGAACCAAGTAGCTTGGAGACCTCCCTGGAAATAGGTGCCACAGCAGAGCAGCAGTGGTTTAGCTTCAGGATCTGAAGACCACAGGCAGAAAGACTGAACACATGCTACGCCCAGCCAGGCTTTCCACCCCTTTGGCACTGCCTGAGGTGATCTACCAATCTCTTCTGTACTGAGGGTCAGTCCTACCAAGCACCATGCAGACAGATCTGCCCCGAAGAGCTTATGCTTTCACGTGAACTGATGCATAGATGATTACAGCAACAGTGGAAGAGGTGGTGGAGGAATGCAGAGCCATTAACAACGCCATGAAGTTGAGATACAATCACTACCCCACCGCATCAAGGCTCACTTTGTCAGCTGGAGCTTGACAGATTCAGGCTTGGCCAGCAGCAATCAGGTAATCTCCCAAGTCTCCCACAGGTTTAAGAGCTCAATATTGGAGGGGAAAAAGAACAAACTCATGGATTTATTCAGAGAATAGACTCCACAGCTAAGCCACAACCACCTGGGAGCACTGAGGTATTCAGAGCCAGCATTGCCGAAGGGACCAGGAGGCCAAGGATGAGTTTGACAAGGGGCCACAGCAAGCAAAGCGGGAAGCAGACCAGGAAGAGGTCTCAAAGGACACTGCTTCGGAGCAGAGCACCCAGCCAAGTGCACTTGAGAAAACCTAAGAGAGTTCCTAGTGCCGGTAAAGGGGAAGGGAGGACAGACCAGACAAAGCCTCGCGCCATGCAGACGCAAGTTCCCAGATCAGCTGCTCTCTGCTCTTCCTGACTAGTAACACAACAAAAGGGCATCAGTAACTGCAGGGGGGAGGAGGCACCCGAGCACTCAGCAGCAGCTCCCCCAAACAGATTTGCTGCTTTCACTTCCTCCTGGCCTAAAGCTGGCACTCCTCCGGCCCGTACGTGTGCCCCTTCGCTTCTACCCAGGGCACAGGGGAAGCCCCTTGTGCTGCTCCGCACAGCTTGTTTCTGGTTTACCCTGTCTCAGAGCAAGGCCTGTTTTCGGAACAAACGCAACTTGCCGTGTTTACCTTATGCCCTTTTTGCTGAGAGCTTCCCTTGTCCTCCCTTACTGTGTCCAGGAACTCACGCACCACTTGTTTCCCACCCACCGCTCCCACCTAGGTGCCAACCTCATCTGGACATGGCTCAGGGATTTAAACAACAAGATTTACATCCAGCTAACACAAAATCTGTTAGGAAGAAGGAAGGTGAAGAGCACCTACACTAGCAGCCCCCCGTTCACTCCTGGTGAAGGAATTAGGGTTTGCAAACAGCTCCTCCCCTGCCTTGTCCCCCTCCTTTCCAGACCGAAGCAGGCAAGCTCCCACTCAGTTAAAAGTGGGGGTACAGAGAGGTGACAAACAGCTAGCTTTGGTTTTGTCTCCTCCCCCAGTCACAGGTATGCTGGTTTGCAGGCTCACAACTGCCCTCTAACATCAAGCCTGTCAGCATCACAGGAAAAAAAAAAAATATCGAAATTCTTTCATATCTAAGAGGAGATGATCTTTAAACATAAGAACAGGTGGTGCTTATTATGGTGAGTTAAGCAATGTCAATGTCCACCTGAAGATGATTGTGGAAGTTAGAGAACATGGAAATGCAAGGGTAACATTTTTTCCCCTTACGCACTTTCTAAAACTCCTCAGCACAAAGATACCCAAGGAGAAAGAATATAAAGCAGAAGTAAGTCATGATTATTGAAATATTATTATACTGTAATATCATTATCTGTAATACAAAAATGAAAAGAAAGTTCAAGAACAGGTTCCAGCAGAAGGAAGTAGTTCTTCACACAAGGCATCCTCTGAAGCTTGTTCCCACATCTTATCACAGAGGAAAAAGAGTTCACATGAATTCAGAAACCGCCAAGTTTATGGAGGAAAAGAATCACTATTAAACAAATATCACCCAAGCAGTCACTCACTGAAGCCTAGGAGTTTGTCACGAGTTTCTTCTATTCTTCCACTCTTCCTCAGGCATCCCACCAGTCACCACAGAGCCAGACCTGCCTTCAGTCTGACTCAGTGCAGCCATTCACAACACCAAGAATCACCTACTTACTCCACAGAAGCTCAGGACTTTTTTTCCAAGGAGAAATACTATGAAGAGCAAGTACTATCTTCAAGCAGCAAGGCAGGTGGCCCACCAAGTCAGCTCCATGGTCCAGCCCCAGTCGAGGTTATGATTCCCACAGTACTTGAGCTTTAAGGCTGCTCTTGCTCACCACACTGCTCTTCTTCTACAGGAAAAGTTGAGTTACACAAAGGCCTGCAAAGTCCCAGTGCTCCCAGTTCAGAGCAAATGCCTTAAAGGAGTTTAAGAACACACTTCCAAGGCATCCTATCACCTCTTGCAACACTTGAACTACCAAAACCACCACATGACAAGCAGAGAGCCAAGTCATTTGCAAAGTCTCTTAGAAGCCTGACCACAAGCTTTTCCTTCCAGCATCACGGAACCAGCCTGCCAGATCACATCTCACCAAGAGTTTGAGAGCTGCCCCACTACAGAAAATTCAAACTGACTTCCAGAACGCTGTACTAGAAGAGCTCACAGACTGATCAACCTGCATACGCAGCACTGAGCACTCGGACATCCTGCCACAGAAGACTTCAGTGGCCAACCTAGTAGCTTGAGGGGTTTTTTTTTGTTTGTTTGTTTTTATTAAGCCAGCTTTAAATTGCTGCATCAGCATCATGTTGATTGCATTAGAGCAGGAAAAGTAGTCACAGATTTCAGTGATATTTTGCTGTCTCTGAACTTAAAAAGCTACTACCAACTCTTCAAAGCACAGTGCTACAGACATGGAAGTCTGAGGGTCACAAAGCAAGACTCTGGTGCTTTCAGTCAAGACTCACCTGCCTCTACTTAAACCCAAGTAAGTTACTAGTCATAAGTCCCCCCTCCACAGACCTGAAGAGACCAAAAGCTTTAGCCTGATGCTCACAGCTTTATTTAAGAAAGGAGCATTTGGACCTGGCATTAAGCAGAAATGGAGATTACTAAGAGCTAAAACAGAAAGGAATAAGCAACTCCTTGGAACCTTCCTGCAGAAGCCCCTACCTCCACCTGAAGAAGCTTAACAGAAGAGAAGCCAAACCAAAAACCGGACCCAACAAGTTTACAAAGATGAAACAGAACCTTGGAAAACTCAAGTTAAATGCTTATCACACCAGAGAAAAGGGCAGTCACACAGCTGATTCCAATCTTGTAAAAAGAAATGATTAACTGCCATGCAACTGTTCCTAGTTTCTCCTGATTAAAAGAGACAGCAGCTCACTCCTGTCTGACAAGGCCACAGAGACAGCACAAACATTTTCCCAGTAAAAAAAAAATACCTGTGGCCAAAAAAATTTCAAAAAGTCAACTGTACAGTCCTTCACAAGTGGTCCTCTACAGGCTTAGACTCATCCCCTATCCTACACTTTAGCTTTGACTCATTTAGCCAGAAGATGCAAACTACACAAACTGCACTTTATTCTGTTTTCTACTCACACCTGATCTCTTCAGGTGCTACCAACCCTAGTTTTCCTAACAACGACAAACTGCTGAGCAGCACAAGTCAAAGAAATTGAGAACAGTTACAACAGCACACTGGTTTGCAACAATACTAACTAAACCAAGAGGAATTTACTATACAATCATGTCCCTTCAGATCCACCAAGATACAGTCCTCTGCAACGTTCTGGCTAGTCCAGCGACTGAACCAGAACCGTCTGGTGCATGGTACAACAGCAGGTCACAGCCAGGAATAAACAAACACGACTAAGCCTCTTGAGCAATCAGGTGACTGTCAAGTATCAAGAAACCAATCTCTTCACGTTGCAGTCACTCAACGAACAAGATCAATATAAAGGAGCAGTTTGTAAAAGAGAAAACATCCACAAATCCTCCCCCCCCCCCCACACACCATGCAAAAGAGCAGCAGCCTGGAAGGCAGCGAGAGACTAGCCTCAGAACTACAAAGCCCACACAAGCAAAGAAACACCTTAATCCCCAGAGGAGAACAACTCCAGGTTCAAACTGAGAATTATAAAGTGGTTTAGACAACTTCTAGAAGTTTCCATTCTTTTAATACTGGATATTTGCAGAACTCACATTAGGGAGGTGAGGGTTCAATAACACCACAAGGCAACAGGCGCTGACGCTGTAGGATCCCACAGTCCCGCGACAGCAAGGGAATCAACTCGCTGAATTCACGGTCCTCAGCCTTGCTTAGGAGAGAACAGCCATGTACTTTGCAATGGCACATGCCCCCAGCTTTGAGCAGAATGGATTAAATGAAGTAAAAGATTAACAAGTAGCATATTTCTCTCTATAAGCAGCATCTCATGCAGCCCTGTAAAACTCACATATTACTTTTGTTAGTAACACAAATCTATTAAACTGCTAGAGAACATCTCTCCTCAGAAGTTACAAGAGAGCCAGGAATTAAATCCATTCAAATCAATCCCTTTGTACAACCTAGAGATCAGATCACAGCTGGTTTCTATCTAAACTTACAATACTGAATGGCTGGAAGGAGCCAAGATCAAACCTTCCTAAAAGAAAAACTCACTTAGAGGTATCAGGTAGGCTTCGCATGGAAAGGCTCTGAATCAGGAGGGAAAGGGAGAAAAGGCTGCATTCCTCAGCCACCCAGAAAACACCACGGATCCAAACAGCTCGTTGAGCAGTGGCAGAAGCATTTGGCAGCTAACAGAGATGAAGCACAAAGGTGAGTCAAGTATTGCATTTGTATCGCAACGACTGTTTACTCATTGCAAGTCACACTGCAAGATGCAGCCTGCTGCTGTCTACAAGGTCTCTCGTGGTGTTTGACAGAAGGGCACAGAAAAACCTCCAGCACCTTAAAGAATGTCAGAAATACAGGTTCAGTCTTCAACGTGATGTTTAAAACTTCAGTAGGGATGATTTATTATTCTCAAGTGAGACAGAAAACAACTTGTTTGTTGCTCTGACTTCACTGAAGATCTAGAATAAACTGTCGGATGGCAGTTAAGACAGTTGGGGCAAGAAATGAACCCAGAAAATTGCACCCATCCTCATTCAGCAGTACTGCCCTTGCCAGCCAAGGGGAACTCTTCAGTTCTTCTTCTGGACCAGAACATTCACAGCCTCAGTGCCAACAAGCAATGGAGGAGGTTACTGCTTGATTTCTGTAAAGAGGATTTCTGGAAATACAAGGGGCATCACATTACTACTGGCGTTAAACATGAAACAAGTGTAGGTGTTGCAACCCTGCAAGTTGCAAACTGCCTGACTGCAATAAGAAGATCGTTGAAGCACAGTGACTTCAGCAGAAAGTAGCCTAGACTGCCCTTTACCCTTTCCTCTGCAAATTATTATTTCTTTAAAGGATATTCCAGTGTTAAGCCCTGTAGTTTATTTGTTCATTTTAAGCCTGAGAAGCATGACATTCATGTACCAACTTAACGCAAGTTTAGCTTCCTCTCTGCCTGCATATCTTACTTCAGGTACACACGCTGCATCATTACAGAAACAAATCACTAGGTAAGATTAATCCCATTTCTCTTCCAGGCCCATCACCTTTCCTGGGAGGCAGTGCAACATGTTTAAAAGAGAAGTAAAGAAAGAGAATATGATAGCTGTTGAATAAGCATTTCTCTAGAGAGGTAACATGTACACCCAAAACACGCTTACTGACAGCAGCCCCCCTGGAACCCCCATTACAAACGTGACTGTGATTATTTATCACTATCCAGTCCCAGAAACCCACACAAGCC